GATGATGATGATGATGATGATGATGATGAGGAGGAGGAAGAGGAGGAGGAGGAGGAGGATGAGGATGAGGATGAGGATGAGATGAGGATGAGGATGAGGATGAGGATGAGGATGAGGATGAGGATGAGGATGAGGATGAGGATGAGGATGAGGATGAGGATGAGGATGAGGATGATGAGGATGAGGATGATGAGGATGAGGATGAGGATGAGGATGATGAGGATGATGAGGATGATGAGGATGATGAGGATGATGAGGAGGAGGAGGAGGAGGAGGAGGAGGAGGAGGAGGAGGAGGGGGAGGACGAGGAAGAGGAGGGCGAGCAGAAAGCCAGAAGCTTGTTCAATGCCTCTCGGAGTCTTTCGGATCTCTCTTGGAACCTAACTAGAGACCTCTTGGGGCGTCTGGAGGGGCATCTTGGCGGGCCCAGAGCCATCTTGGGTGCCTCGGGGATTCTCTTGAGGCCTCTCGGGGGTCTCTTGGGAGCCTCTTGGAGGCTTTTTGGGCGCCTCTTGGGGCTGTCTAGGCGCCTCTTGGGACCCTCTTAGGGGCGCTTTTGGAGCCATCTCGGAAGACATCGGTCAAAAATGAGGGGAGCTTCAATTGGGCCCCCCCCCTCTCGGGAGCCCCAAACATCGCCTTTTGGGGCGCTCTTGGGGTGCAATTGGGGCGCTCTTGGGCGCTCTTGGGGCCGTCTTGGGCCCCTCCTGGGGTCCTCTTGAGCCATCTTGGAGCCATCCTGAGGCCTCGGATGGTCATCGGAAGCGAACAGGCGAGAAAGCACAACACATTGATTTTAAGTAGGTTTTGAAGGGATTTTGGTCCCTTGGGGGCCTCCTGGGGGGACTCCGTGGCCACCTGGAGCCGCCTTGGAGCGTTCTTGGAGCCTCTTGGAGCATATTGGGAGCCATCTTGAGGCATTTTGTGCTATCTTGAGCCATCTTGGAGGTCATCTTGGGCTCTCTGAGGCGCCCTTGGAGCCGTCTTGGGCCATCTTGGACAAACCCCTCGCGGAACCCCTCGTCCAAGTCCAAGGGAGGGGGTAAGTGGGAGGGGTTACCCCCTCTCCGAAGGGGAAGAAAGGGGGTTGGAAGAGACATTTCCTTAGGCCACTTACGCCCAGAGGGCTGTTGTGACTTCCCGTCGTTGTACTTCCTCTTCGCGCATCCTCTGCCCCAGCTTCTGGGTATGGCCGCGACGCCGCCCCGCGCCCGCTGCCAGGGGTGCAGAGCCGGCTGGCCGCCCCGGCCGCTCCGCAGCGGCCCCCGCCGCGTGAGCGCTCCCTCCTCCCGCCCTTCTGCGCGGCCGCTTCCTCCTCTCCCCTTGTCCCCGGCAATTGGCGATGCCGTCTCTTGGCTTGCCCGAGCGAGCGTGCGGACTGCCTTTGCCGCGCTGCGACGTAAAATGTTTGTGTAGTCGTGTTATGAGGGGCAACGCTAGGGGGGGATATGCTCAGGCGGGGTGCATCGACCTTCCAGTCGCGCATTCATCGCCGACAGGGGCCTCATAGCCCACTCTGTCCAGGACAGTGCGGAGTCGCCATCGGGGGCCCATCGCCGATCTATAGGCGACGTATCGCTGATTCCAGGTCGGTGTGTCCCCCCCAAGCGTTGCCCTTCAGGAGACGTGTCAGATCGTTTTGGGGTTGTCTTGCGGCTGTTTGGGCCTTCGTGGAGCCCTAAAGGTCGTCAGTGGTCCTCCCTCTTCTCCCCACCACTCCCCTCCCTCCCTCCCTCCCTGCCTCTCCCACAGTATTCATCCCTCCATCCACATTCCTTTTCATGCCCATGGGTCCTTTCGGGACGAGTGGAGGCCGATCGGAGGGAGCGGTCCCGACGGCCCTCTTGGGGCCAACCAGGGAGCGTCGGGGGGCCGTTTGGGAACCGCCCCCTTTTAACGTGATTCTTCATGGTCCATGATGGTCCGATTGATCCGATTCGGCGACTTTCGGTTCTGGCCAGCCTTATTTGTCTCCGATTTCTCGGCGATCCCCCGCGGTTCGATGCTCGCGCTGCGTTGTCGTGCACCTTGGCGCAGCAGGTCCGTTCGGTTTCGATTCCGTGCCGATACATCCCGATCTGACGCGCCTGTCGTTACGATCAGATTTGTCGATTCGCTGCTGAGTGTGTCAAAGCAGACGATGTTGGAAGCAACGACAATATTTTACAACAGCCAATTGCCACGGCATCTGATTCTCTGGTTCGGTCAAATAGGGAGAACATGCGACGAGGACGGATTGAAAACAATCACCTTCGTGCCCAAACCGGTCCAATCAGCCATTACCACATTCGGCAATAATCCAGGGATGCTCAGGAACGAATGGTCGAAGTGCTTGTGTGATCGAGCTCGTGCCAGCTTCATTACGTGCCAGCTTCAATACGGAACGGGACCTCTTGGAATGCCGACGCGACGCTTCCAAATGGAACGATTTTACGTTGTGAACAAAACATATGGCATGATGACGGATCGCATTCCCGTCGAGGGAAAGAGAGGGAGCGAGAGAGAGAACACGAGATACATACAGATACATATAAGTATGGTACTATATACATATATCCATATATACAAGGAATATGTATGTATGTGTATATATAATGAGAGAGAGAGAGAGAGAGAGAGAGAGAGAGAGAGAGAGAGAGAGAGAGAGAGAGAGAGAGAGAGAGAGAGAAGAGAGAGAGAGAGAGAGAGAGAGAGAGAGAGAGCGAGAGAGAGAGAGAGAGAGAGAGAGAGAGAGAGAGAGAGAGAGAGAGAGAGAGAGAGAGAGAGAGAGAAAGAGAGAGAGAGAGAAACGAGAGAGAGAGAGAGAGAGAGCGAGAGAGAGAGAGAGAGAGAAAGAAAAAGAGAAAGAGAGAGAGAGAGAGAGAGATAAATAGAGAAATATATAGAAAGAGAGAGAGAGGGAACAAGAGAGACAGCAACAGGGGGCTGTGGAAAACACAAATGGTCGTCGGCGAGCATGTAAAAACGACTGGAGCGTATTGGGCAAACCGAACTGGCCTGAGCCAAGCGCCAATAGTATTCGGTATACATGTAAAACAGTCGAATGCGTATTCGGCGAACCGAATTGCATTCTTTCTGGTGACACTGCCCACATGTGCGCTCGACAAGGGGAAGACACTTGAAGGTACACTCGCACCGTATGGATGACGTTGTTGCCCGTGTGGTCTTCCAGAGGCACGTATACACAGCACGCCTGTTTATGGCATGTGATGCCGCCCTGCCCGCTGTTTCCCGCTTTTACTTGTTTCCAGCCGCGCGCGCTGTAAGCAAAGCGCAGTATGGCGCCCCGCTGCTTCCGCAGAGCGGGGATTGAAGGCTTTCACCGTCTCTTTTCGCCCACGCGCTCCAGCGTACGGATGACCGGCTTCCGAAGGATACCTTCGCATCCTTGCCTCTTCGATCACATTCGGTCCAGCCTCGACAACTTTCGATGGCCAGCCCCTATCGAAGAGCCCTGGCATGGACGTCCACTGCCCTTGCATTCTTGCCGCGCATCCTTACTCTGGGTTGACGGTATGGCTTGACTGCGCTGTACTGTAGTCGTCGCCGTTCTGCCTCCTCCCGTGATCCCGCACGGGCATCCCTCGCGGTCCCTGCGGCGGAGAGGCCGGGGCCGCGGACCATTGCCCCTGCGCATGCGCGACGACCACCAGCACCAGGAGACCCGCGGCTGGCGGCATGCGGCCTTTCTTTTCCGACCCCGAGGGGAGGAGGGGAAGGAGGAGGAGGAGGAGGAGGAGGAGGAGGAGGAGGAGGAGGAGGAGGAGGAGGAGGAGGAGGAGGAGGAGGAGGAGGAGGAGGGGGAATGAGGGTTTAGAATACTCTTGGGCTTGCTTTGGTTCTCCTGGGTCGCCCTCGTCGCCACGGCTGGGCTCCCCTCGAAACGCTGGTCAGAACGCCCTTGGGTGTAGAGGTTGACCATTCTTTTCGCCCGACGAGGAGGAGGAAGAGTAGGATGAGGAGGAGGATGGCCGATTTTTGTTTGGCTTGCTTGGCACTTTTTGGTCTCCAGGAGGCTCTGGCGGGGTCTCCGGGGGCATCCAGAGGCTTCCAGGGTACTCTCGGGGGAGCTCCTCCGGGACCTTCGGAGACCTCCCCTATACCTTTGGTGGCTCGTGAAAATCTCGCCAGAGGTGTTTCGCAATGTGCTGTGCCCTAAGGCCGTTTCTGGGCCTCTGGGTTGTGGCCGCAGGGAGGGGTCGAGAGCCCCCCATGGAGGCCCACCAGGGGGCAAACGCGTGGTAAAACCTCGACCCGCGATTCTCGGTCCTCCTTTCCCTCCTGGACGTCGGTCGGCGATCGAAGTCTGGTCCATATCACGGCTGAGGCCTCCCACTCTGGGCTGTGGTGGGGCTACAGCATGGACAGAAACCCTGTTCTCTATATATTCGATGGGCATCTGATCCGTGCCACCCTCCCCAGTCAATCGTAGAATTGTGGCAGGAGCAGGGGCATAGATACGTATCGATCGCTTAGTCGGAGGTTAGAGGGATGGGTCGAGAGATTTGGGGCACCGCGCTGAAAAGGGTCTCGACGCCAGAGTTATGGGCACCCGCACCCGCACGCACAGGCGGCCTGCTTGTCTGCTTGTGCAGGGGAGCGCCGCGGCCTCTTTCTCCCCCCATCTGCGCTCTCCCCGCTCTGAAGGCCTTACGGCCGGTGCCGCCGACCCTGAATGACGACGACGACGACGACGACGACGACGACGACGACGACGACGACGACGACGACGACGACGACGACGACGACGACGACGACGACGACGACGACGACGACGACGACGACGACGACGACGACGACGACGACGACGACGACGACGACGACGACGACGACGACGACGACGACGACGACGACGACGACGACGACGACGACGACGACGACGACGACGACGACGACGACGACGACGACGACGACTCTCGGGGGCCTCTTGGAGCTTCCTGGGGGTCTCTTGGGAAGCTCTTGGGAGCCGCTTGGGAATCTCGTGGGGGCCTCTTGGAGCTTCCTGGGGGTCCCTTGGGGGCCTCTTGGGGGCTCTTGGGGGGCTTCTGAGGGGCCTCTGGGGACTTCCTGAGAGCTTCTCAGGTCGAGGGATCGAACTGTTCGTTCGGGTCCCTCTTGTGGGCTCCCTCTTGGAGCCGTTTTGGGGGCCTCCTCGGCTGTCTTGGAGGCTTCTTGGGCGATCTTGGGGCCCTCTTGGGTCTTTGTGGAGCTCTCTTGGAGGCCTCTTGAGCCATCTTGGGGCGGCTTTGGAGGCCTCTTGGCCTGTCTTGGAGCGTCGGGAAGCTGACAAGGCGAGAATGCTGAAATCTTTCAAAAACCTATGGAAAAGCCGAGGCTTTTTGCCCCTTGGGGCCGTCTTGGAAGTCCTCTTGGATGCCTCTTGGGGCGTTTTGGAAACCTTTTGAGCCGTCTGGAGTTTACTTTGGCGACTTGGACCGACACTTCGGCAATTCGGGGCTCTCGAAGACCGTCTTGGGGACATCTTGGGGCACTTCTGCCGCGCCTTGGGGCTTTTCTGGGCCCCCGAACCGCCCGGGGGGGAATCGTATCTGCCCCAGGACCCCCCCGGGACCTCCCCGGGGCCCCACCTGGGATCCCCCCCCCCCAGGACCACCCCCCCCACCGGCGGGGAAGAGATCAAAGGGGAGGGTCTCCCTTTCGACTCAACTACAACGTTGCTCAATTTCGACGAGTCAAGCGGAACAGCCTCTTCCACACGCCGACAGGGTCGGCGGATTTAAAGGCTGCCGCCTTTGCCGCCGACCCCAGAAGAGCTGGCAGCTCGTTTGGCTCCCTGTTGAGGCTGCCTTGCGGCGTTCTTCGGCTCCTCTTGAGCGCTTGTTGGGCGTCTGGGGTTTTTCTCGATCGGTTTGGAGCCCTCTTGGAAGCTTCCTAGGCTGCTTCAGCCAAAACATCCGGCTCAACTGGGCCGGCCCCAAGCGCCCGCGCACAGGGCGCATTCAGGCTCTCCTCCCACCACACTCCTTCCCTCATGGCTTGCGCACATGTGGCCTGCCCTCTCTTTGGCGCGCTCCCGGGCTGGGCCGACGACCAGGGCCGATGCCGGCGCTGCGGCCAGGCGCTGCCGGGCGCCTCTGCTGCCGCCGCTGCGGCCGGGCCGCCGTTGCCGCCAGGACTGGACGCCGAGGTCGCGGGCTCCGGCGCCACTCAGAGCATGGCGGGCCTCGGCCTCGACGACTCAGGCGGGGTGGGCGCGGAGATGGCCGCGCTGGACGCCATCGAGATCGATGGCGAAGGGGATGATGTGGCTGTGGCACGGCCCATTGACGTGCCCGCCAGGATGCTGCAGGAGCTGCTCGAGGACGAGGTGCTGGTCCACATGGACCTTGTCCGCGCAGCTCATCGCGCGGACCCTGGCAGCGCATCGCTCCAGGTGCGCTGCCCATCCGGTTGGGCGGACATGGAGACCATCTTCAGGAAACTCGCCTACAACCTGACGGCCAGCTGCGGGCAGCAGCGGATGGGCTTCGGCTCCTGGAAGGCCCGGAGCCGACGGCGACTGCGATCGCTGCGAGGGCCCGGACTGCACGATGGCTCTGCGAGATTGGCTTGTCCTCGCATTGGCCCGCGGCGGACAAGGCTAGGGCGCGCGAGGCGGCCGACAAGTTTGCCTCCGCCGCGAAGGGCTGCGGCGACCAGCTGGACGAGGTGCTGCGGAAGCGCATGCAGCTCAGGTCCTCCAAGCTCCCCTTGTGGAAGGAACTCGGGGAGGAGAGCCTGCAGATGCTCCGCCGCTCGGCGACTGTAGAGTCGGAGGTTTGCTACACGCAGTGGTCCGACATCCTCGGCTGTCGGCATGGCTCTCTGGCCGCCCCTCGGGAAGCACGAGACCTGGCCGCTTGCTGCGAGAAGGGGGACGAGGCGGCCTTGGATTTCTTGGCGGGGAGGGCGGTGGTGTTAAGGGCCCCTGAGGATGGCAACGCGCTGTCTCGAATCCTGACCGGTCTTCTCTGGCATGGGGACGATGCGCGCCCTGCCTCTCTTCGGATGGTGGCGCCGGTTCCAGCCTGCTGCCCAGGCATGGACACCCTGGCGAAGATCACCAACTTGTGGATTCACCCTCTCATGGGTGCGGCGCCGTTGTACTTCGCCCAGGTGCGTGGCATCGCCCTCGCTGCGATGCCGTTGGAGCAGGTCGTCGCGGGTCGGACGGCGCCACGGCTTGTCCACCAGGGCCTCGCAGTCTTCACCATCAAGCACAACGGCTTGCGGGCGCTGCCGAGTCTTTTCGCGACCCCCGCTCCGATCTTCCGCACGTCGGCTGTGGAGTCCGTCTACATCGACCTGTTGACCGACGATTTCCCCAGGATCGTGCGCACGCTGCGCTCGGCCGACTTCCAGGATGTTACGTGCAGGAACCCATCGTCGAGCCTCCTGTCTAGGCCAGAATTCCGACGCACGCAGCTGGAGGTGTTGTTTCCGGCGAATACGCCGTGCTTACAGCAAGTCCTTCGGATCCGCCATCTTCGTCGCGCGTGCTTCGGCGACAGGGTATTCTTGGGGCGCCGCAAGCCGTTCGGCAGTGATGGCGCCCTCATTGTCGAGTACAACTCGCCGAGGGCGCTTCTCAGGATCTGGCCGCTGTGCCCCCGGGCGGTCGTGCTTTCGTCGAGCAAGGCGCTCATTTACACTGGGGCGACCGTGGAGACATGGCGGCCTCTCTTGGATGACCTCCTGAAGGAGTGCCCGGAGGAGGGTGTCACGCGCATTCGGCACAAAGCCTCAATGCAGGGATGCCGCCCGTTTGTCACTCCCGAGGCTACGACCGCGCAGCTGACAGCGTCCCGGCGGCGGAAAGGCAGGGGAACTCGGGCGAACTGTCCGATGGACAACTTCGCGGATGTCCGTGTGCTTGGCGAGGTGGGCCAGGAGGACCTCGAGGTGATGCGAGCGATCATGAACCACCCCAATGCTCACTCGCCGTTGATTCGCGTGGAGGCCCCGAGCGACCGTGCGCCGCAAGCAGGGGAGTGGGTGCACCTGGCTTTGCGCTGCCCAGAGGCCCCGCCTGGGCGAGTTCGCGTCCACTTGAGCTCGCGGGAGGAGGTCGCCCAGGTCTGCGCCGCCCTCCACGACCAGACAGTGCAGGTTGGGACCGACGGCGTCGCGATCGCGGTGCAGAACGATGCCATGGAGGCGGTTCCGGGAAATGGCCAGCGGGGGGGGCGATAGACACGCCCCTCCTCCGCTGCGTGGTGGTGCCGTTCGAGGCCGGCGCAACTATTGGAATGCAAGTGCATGAGATCGACGGTCGCGCCTGCTGGGTGCTGGGCGTCGCCTTCGCGCTTTGCGCCGCGTCGGTGCCGAGCGCTTGTGGCCGCGTTCCCGCAGCTGCCGAGCGTTTGGGTCTTCTTCTTCGGTATATCGTTTTTCATTATGCTCCAGCCCTCGCCGCGGGCTTCTTGCTGAGCGCGCTCTTTTTCTCCCGCAGCCACTTCGACTTCGCCCTGCTCTACCCGCGCTTTCTTTCGGGGGCGGCCAGGTGGTTCCGCCGCCGACCGGCATGCTCCGGTGCGACGACGTGCCGCTCTGCTTGCACCGTCGCGTTCGGCTACGCCGCGCGCTCGGCCAGGCTGGCGCTGCCCCTTCTTCACTTGTGCCGCGCTCGAGCCTAAGCGCTGCCACATGGGCGCCCTCC